TATGATTAGTGAACGGTAGCCCTTGAACTCTGCTGAGTTTTCATTTTTTTTTTTTGTTCTGTTAATATCGCCATATTTACATGGTTAAACAATTATGCTGGCCTTTTACTTTCTTGTTATTTGTTGCGTGACATCTCCTATCTGTTGCAGGTTTTATGCAGGTGTAGTCGAATCTTTTGATCCTGGAAAAAGGAAGCACAAGGTAAGATATCATTTATGGAATCTTAGGTTGGTTTGTTTGTTTGTTCATTCTTTGTTACTATGGCATGCATGCATGCATTGTAGTACATATACGTGTGTTGTATGTTATATACAGCTGTGCATATGCATATGCACATATGAATGTTTATGCATAGGTTTTTGGTATTTTTTTACACGGGTCAATCTATGCAGGTTTTGTACACGGATGGAGATGAAGAAATACTAAATCTTAAAAAGGAGAGATGGGAATATATTGACGACGACTCTGGATCTGAACGGGTAGGTGGCTGTGTGAATGTGTGTTTTGCTTGTCATCTAAGATTCTCTAACCTAAGGTTCAATTGTCTGACAACAGGAGGAAACAGCAGATCTAGTGAGATCAGAATCTGCAGCAGAGACGTATGTACTGCTGACTATATTAGTTTTCAATATTAGTTCCCAAATATGGTATATTTGTGGTCTTCCTTTGTGGAAATAGTCGATCGTATAAAGTTAACATCGTGTACAAATTGCCACCTTTATTCGTCACTCAGGTAGATATGATGTGTGATGTGCAGTTAATAACTTAGACTATGTTAATAATCTTTGATGGTTCATATTTTACTTAACTAGGGATATATGGAGTTTCTTCACTCAGGTAGATATGATGTGTGATGTGCAGTTAATGTGCTCGATGATATGCTGATCTTGCATATCTATTCTGTTCTGATATCTTCTAGCCTTGTATTGTGGAAATATCTTTATAGTCAATTCAACACGAGTATGAAGCTTGTTTAAATTACCAAGAAATTTGGAACTTGGACTCTATTTGACTTTTGAAAACTTGTGATGCCTGTACTCATGCAATTGGTGATTTATGAATATATATGATCATGATATTGTAGGAATTCTCTCCTGGACATGTATGGATAGGGCTGTTGGCATTTGATCTTGTTTATATCGATTCTTTTATCTTTTGTTACAGACCTCAAAAGAAAAAGGCGAAACTAAATGCCAACGAGGCTGCTAAGCGAGGAAAGATGGACGTCTCACCGAAAAAGTTAGTGCTATTCCACAACTGTTCACTTTCTCAATAATGGTTCTTGATGTTTAATCGTTAAACTCAATTCTAGGGGTGGAGCGACTTCCTCCGGCAAATCCAAAGGTGTAGCTACAAAAACTAATCAGAGTAGTGGCAGCAAAGTTGAAGGCAAGTCGAAAGAGAATACCCCTAAGGTTGGAAGACCTGCAAATGTAAGCAAATCCAAGGATCAAACCACTCCTAAAACTGTCGGCAAAGCTGGTAGCACAGGACCGAAAATTGTTGGCAAGTCGAAGAACGACGATGCTGAATCACACAAGAGTAGCAAATTGAAGGATAATGAGATAACTACACCTACTGTTGTTGCAAAGTCCAAGCAAGACGTGTTGAAGACAGGGAAGTCCAAACAAGAGACTCCAAAAACTCCTGCAATTTCAAAGGGAAAGTCTACTACCAAAACAGGCGATAAATCTAATAGTGCCAATCTCTCCCCCAAGGTTAAGTTCACATCTTCAAAATCAAAAGAAAGTGGAGATTTGAAGAACTCAGCTGCTCTTGGGAAAACAATGGAGAATTCAAAGGGAAAGTCACTAACTTCATCCAATGATCAGGGCAGTGAATCTAAGCCAGGAAAGAAAAGAAGAATAGAGTCAAAAGGTTGAATCACCATGTCTATTCCAAAAAGGTTGGAGTTTGTCTATTCTCGCCACCGTCTGCATTACATATTTGCAAATTCTACAATGAGTTCTTAGCAAACTTGCTCTGGATCTGATCTGATCTCATCTCATCTCATTGGCATGTTTTCGAGAGATTGTCATATATTCTTAGTGTTAGGTAGGTTAGCAACAATTATAGGAGTATGCTAGAGTTCTCTTTGTAGTTGTTTGCAGCAATTCATGTCATCCTGTGGGAGGTAATAGTAGAGGATGTTAATTTAGCTATATGTATTACTCTCTTGGCTTTTCTCAAAACAAAGATTGGCTTACTAGAGAAACAAAGCCACAGATTCAGAACACAAAGGTCTTTCCTTTCTAGGCCCTTCTGTCTTCTTATCTCCTGTTTTACCACCATCTTAATTCCCTAGAGGTGATTTTCAGAGTAATTGTTAACCTAACGTCTGGTATTTGATTAATGCCCTTGGAAGCTTAACCTTGTGGAGCATTGTATAGCTTTATTCGTGTGTTCGTCGTTAAATTTACATATAAACTTGCACGCACGAATCTGTCGATCCTGCAATAGGTCATGAAAGGTTAAAGCTTTCTCATATACTTCACTGAATCTGAAGGGGGAAAAAGTGTTGGAAGAAAGAAATGATTGGAAATGAAGATAGAATTATTAAATTTGCAATTTTGGGAAAGTTTGGTACTTGACTGATTTTGAAGGGTTGAATATGTGTTTTTTTTACCAGATCCCTTCATCAATGCATGTTGGACAACACACACAGTCCCCACTGCCGTCGTCTTCTTGTGCTGTAATTTGCAGCTCTGTCTTCTGACCTCACCCTACTGCCCTTGTTTTTGTTTCTACCACTCACATTCAAACTTAGATCGTCAAAAGTGCTGTCCCCTACTGCTTCTTTCCACCCCCCTAACACCTTTTCACCTCTTCAACTCTTGTCCTCTCTCCACCCAAACCTCTCTTTCTCGAGCCGGTTTCTTTTCGATCTTCAACCTCACTCTCATTTAGATACGTACTTTCTCTCTTTTCAATCTTCAACCTCACTCTCATTTAGATATGTATTTTCTCTATTTTTTTTAGTAGAATTCAATTGCGATCAATCTACACCTGCGATATTCGAAGGAACTACTTCGTCAGGATTAGAAAATTGCTGTGATTCGACCAAACGTGCTGCAATCTAGGGATCACTAAGTAGAAAGTAGCATTTCCGTTTCCAATAGTTCGAGCTTGAAAGTGGTACTTTGACGGCTAAGTCTCACTTATGCACTGAGATCTCCAGAGATTCTTAGCTCATTCAATTCCAGTGAGTCGACCTTGATGACCTACTTTTTTCATATTCAAAATTAAAATTGATGAAATATTAATTCTTAACATCATATTGCAACTAGTTTTGTTAAAAACATAATTGGGAACAATTATTATATTGGTCAACGATACTCTAAGTGGATTCCATGAAGATATTGCACTTTCATTAATTCTATATTCCAAAAGTTAGTTATTTAAAAAAAAAAAAAATCAATATTTGAATTACTACGAGCTTGAACGTTCTAGAATGTCTATACTAAAAAATCTAAGAAATTTTCGATATTCTCTTAATATACTGATCTCTTAGATTCCCATATCTAAGAAACTATTTCTCGACATTTGTATTATTCTTTTCGATTTCGTAGTTGTTGCGATTAAAATGCCATATTATTTTAAAGAAAATAGAGAAAATAGTAATTTAAAAAAATATTAAATTGAAAAAGGAAGAATCATTGTCTCTAGAAACTTATTAAAATATATATATATATATATATATATATATATATATATATGTATTTACTGCCAGGTGGCCAGCAAGGACTCTTCCTTTTACTATACATTCCGTCCCCCCATTATGTGATAGGGAATTTCTCCACAAAAAAAAAAAATAATAAAAAATAAAAAATAAAAAATCTTCCTTTAGTGCACTTTTTAGATGCTACAAAATGGGTAATTTTATTTTAAAAAATATATAAAAATTTTAAAATCAATTTTTAAAAATATAATTAATTTTTTAAAAAAAGAATATCCATTTCCAAACAAAAATCCCATAAATTTTATTTATTCCCTTTTTATCATTAAATCATTTAATATTAATATAAAATGTTTAGGTGGAATTACCTTTATGATGTATTTTTAATTCTTTCTTTTTATATATATTTTATATTTAATTTTAGCAATTTTTACTACAGTAATTTGATTGGACAATTCATGTCATCCATTTAATTTACTTACTTAATTGATAGGTAATTTTTTCATATGGAATTGTTAAATTAAGGTAGTTGGATATGCGTAGCAATCACTGCCCCTTTAATAGCGTGGTCTCTGCTTCCCATAAAATCCTCTCTTTTTCCACTTTCTTCCCATTAATTTATTTACCTGACATTCTGAAAATTTCAGCCCCTTTTTATTTTCCCCATTTTTTAAATTTATATATAAATCAACATTAATTTACTTAACTATATCAATGTAACGGTTAGTATAAAGTTTCGTATTTATTATTATTTTATATCCCATCTTTACTAAATTAAAATGTGGTCCCAGATGCTCATTTTTCTCGGGCCTCCCACATTACTGCTCCAAAGTTGACCCATTAATGTAAATATGTATATGTATTTTTATCCGTGAATAAAACATGAATTATCATTTTAATTTTATATATATATTTTTTTATGTTTATTAGGTACTAAAATTATATTTTAATTTTAATTTTTTTGTTTTTAATTTTGTGAAAGGGAAAAAAATAAGGCTTGAGGTTCGTTGTTGGTGTTTTCCAACTATACCTCTCATTCTCCAAGGCGACGACCGACATCTGGTGGCCCTACCTCAATGATAATGATCCTACGGTTGGGATTCACCCTATCTGCGAAGCCGGAATCTACGGTCAGGATTTATTTCCAGTAACGACACTCCGTACTCCGGCACGTACCCTCGACAATCATCTCTGTCCAATTAAAAATTGACACGTGGACGAACCGTTTTTATGATTACTCGGTTTCAATGTGAGCGGAATACTGGATTCCCCCCCCTCCGTTTTTTTCTTTTTTTTCTTCTTTGCGTCCGGAAAGATCTCGATCCATTTTGTGTTTCTTTCGCAATAAAAACAAACTGCGAGTGGAGATTTTGATTTAAACGATAAGATTTGAAGCTCTTGGTTACTGCTCCTGGATCGGATTGGATCGATCTGATTTCTTCTTTCTTTGTGCTAATCTGTTTGTTTTGATTCATCTGTTCGTATCGATTTTCTTCGTTCTTGCTCATGATTTTTCGTTCTTGTTGTGGATTCTCTTTGAGGAACGTTGCGATGCTCACCGAGGTCACGGCACTGTTTGATTTGTCTTTCAGAAGCTTTTAATTACGTGTTGTCGGCACTGTTACCGACGTCCTGCATGGAGGAGAGAGAATCGAGTTTTTTTTTTCTTTTTTTTTTTTGTTTCTTTAACCGCTTATTTATTTCGTACTGAACCTAAGAGCCCTAATTAATTTCCAGTACCTTCAGAAAATGTTTGTTCCTTCATGAAATGTTGTGTTGATGGTTTGGATTTTGAGCGGCTTTATGGTTTTTGATGCTCCGGATCTGGCCTCGCTTCGTCGTCTTCATCATTCTATGATCTATCTCTCTCTCGTCTCTCTGCGGATTTCTATGTGTATACGTTTGTCTCCATTACACATGTGAAAGATTATTTACTGAAAATTATTTGTTTATCGTTCTTGATGGTGTTTTACTCTATAGGTAATCGTCCCTGGGACTTGGAATTTGACAGAAGAGAGTGAGCACCCAGAGGCACTTGGTATAAAGTGTATACTAATGCTTTTGCGTGCTCACTTCTCTCTCTGTCAGATTCGATAGATGGATCGGGCTCCGTAATTTTTTGCCATCGGTTTGCCGTTTTAGTTTCACATTCTTTTTTGGACTTGGAATTGTATGTGTCTTTCATCCAGTGAATCGGATTTGCAGTTTTTTAGAGCGTGCCTTTTCATGTTGCTCACTGACCGGAGTTCTCGGCGCGACCATGAAAATACCGTACAACGGGACCTCTCTCAATGTAGATATAGGTTGGTCCTCTCCCTATTGGTCTCTCTCTCCTCTCTCTCTCTCTATTCTTTTCCCTCTCGAGCAATAGTTTATGTTTCTCTTGTTATATTTTTTTGGCATTTGTATTATGGCCTCTTTATCATTTGATGCACTAGTTTCTTAATATGCGCATGCTTTGATTTGAATTCATGTCATCGGTTTCTGTTTTCTCCAAAAAATTTCCTAACAACGATGGGAAGTTCACACTAGATAGCTTCTGTAGGTCATTTGAAAAAACCCTATGTTACCTAGAAATTGAACGACGTTGTTATTAGTCTACCAATGGATTGTTCATAAGGCGGAGAAGGAGAACTTCTAATCTAATTTCCGGTCGTGTATTTTTTGTTTTCCTGTGATTCAAATCTGATTCTCGGTTTTCCTTTCACTGCTGTTATGGCTATTACGATCTCTCAATATATTAATTGATTGGAGAACTTGCTTTATCTATAATGTCATAATTTGCAAGATTACCAAACAATTTGCACTTAACTTCCTTGCTCTTTAGTATTTGTAGGAAATCCTATTCGTTTATGCAACTTGTGTGGTGTATTTTACTCTTTTTCAATTGAATTTTAGACCTCTGCTCGCCGTACTGCTAGAGATTGCTTCGATAGAATTAATTGCCCCATCACACTATACTTTTTCGATTTTACTTCCTCGAATATCTGATATCACCGTGTAACACTCCCCTTCCCATGTATTAGTAATTGTAAGAATTTACTTGCTAGGTTGCATGTTTTCCTACTTGCATCTTGTAGGGTTAAGATTAAAATTTTAAGAAGCAAAATGTCAATTGATTGTTCTTGAATCTTTTTCTAATGAAGTTGCGTATCCTCGTACAGGTGTGAGGATAATATAAAGACGTATGTGTTGAATTGAGCAGCTGTTCGCTTTAACAGGCTTCATTCTCTTTTTGCGAGTTAATGCTCGGGAATTTCGGGAATTTCCTTATTATCCGATGTTTACTGGGCAAATGGAGGTGACGTTTTTGCGCAATAATGTTCATTTCCGTTTTTGCGCAATAATTATTGATAGGACGTTGGAGAAAATGCTACATTATAGGGGTCATAATTTTCACGCCGATCAGCGGAATTTAATGTGCTACACTTAGGTATCACAGTCTTGATTTCTTTTACCTTGCATTTGTAACTGCCGCTTCTGCTGCTGATGCTGTGAAGAATATTTCGAATTTATTGCAATGTTTTAAAGCTAGGATTATTATAAATATATGATTTCGAATAAAGCTAATCAGTACGTGCCTTTCTATTTGATCTTAAATGCAATTGTGCTTTTCAAATCTTTTCTAACCAGACCTATGTTTCCCTCCTAAGCAGTATATTAATAATTTTATGGAATTCTTCGAAATTAGTCAAGTTTCTCTCTAATTCAAGTTTATGGAGGAGAGTATCATTATTTTAATAACCAATAAGTGAAATATTTATTTTCAACCTGGGTTAGTGATAAGGGAAATCCTTTCACCTTGCTTGTTGAAGTTGATAGAAATTAATTTTGTGTTGATTTTTAAATAATTTTAATTTCTTTACTTTGAAATGTTCCTTCGTTATCTATGAGTGATATCTTATTTGTTTTCCATAAAAAGAATATCATTCTGTGTGTACTATAGTTTTTACATTTTAGAGATTGCCTTTTAGTTTTGTCATTCCGTGTGTGTGTAGTGTAGATATCGTTTGTACAAATATTGTGTTGTGTGCCAGGTTACACATTCTTGCATCATGCGTGCATTCAAGGGTATGATATCAATTATAGGAGTCGCTTGCTAAACTTGGAACTTCTATACTAGTTTTTATTTAGTTCATGGTTACATTTTTTGTTCCTTGAATAACTACTTTTGACATTCATGCCCAGTTCATCAATTTGTGAGAACCTATCTTCTGCCAATTGTTTGCCATTGTAGAGTCGAGCCATGCCCATCTTTGTTCCTTTTGCATATTCAGAGTTGCACATGTTTTGACACGAAAGTAGCGATGCATGATGACACTTTTTTCACACTTCACACTTCACACTACCCGTCTTGATACTGTAAGGCCCTTCCATGCATTCTAAACTTTTTCCGAATGATTTAATGTTGAATAGCTATATAATATGATGTCTCCCCCCTTTGCTTTCTGCCAAAATTCTCATCTTTCTGAGGTTTAATGCCCTTCTAATTTGCTATTACGGTGGACTTGAATATGATGGAATTGGAAACTTGAGATAAGTGGAAGGAAGACCTGGAGCAGCTTAACAGGAAGAGGGGGCTGTATAGCCAAAACGCAGGGTGGACTTATTTGGTTCTTTATAATATACACTTCCCATGTTTTGTTGGAAATGTTCTAATTTTTTATGAATGTTTTTCTTTATTGTGGTCGGTACCAAAGATGACTGTATAGAATGTTCGATGACAATCTACTTCCTGGGTTGCTGGGTCTGTTTTGAACGCACGGCCCGGTGGATTTAGGGCTTGCTGGGACTGTTTGTTTTTTTAATGGATGGGCAGGACGAAACTTAGCCGGTTGGGTTCCCTTTTGGCGATCAGATCTCTTCAATATCTTACGGGAATTCCAAGAAAGTCTACGGTCTGTAGTAGACGCGCACAAGAAGACTAAATTCAAGTTCGTTGTATATGGACATCCTTATGGGAATGTTCAAACTTTCCATATTATTTCTACAAAATAAACATGGAATTTTGGATATACTAACCCTGGAAGTTTAAGAATGAGTGCAGTTGTGAACCCAGTCAACATTCAACAATCCCTATTACATTATTTCAGGAATATCGGTCAACAATTATTACTTGTACAAATCTGTTGGTGATTTTTTATTATAATTCAAGTACAATTAATTTCTTAGTCTTTATTTTGTTTGTTCCAGTTTTGGGGATAATCCAGACATTGTTATGACATGCCCAGCTTCGTTCATGGTAATGACATCTTCTTTTTTGAACGACTCATTGGGTCTTTTTCTTGGTCTTTTTTTTCCTTGTAGTTTGTTCTTCCTATGCTACCTCCCCCTCGTCTACCTAAATTCGGACAACTAATTCCAAACTACTTGTTCCTTATTTTATTGTTCAACTATGTCGTGGGTTGGTAATGTTGATGTCGTCATTATTGTCTCATTATTGTGACATCAGTTCTTTGTGTAGTTTCTTCCCTTTGTAAAGAAGAGTATTAGATTTGATTATGAGTTGGGGTTGAGAAGATTAGGTTTGTGTAATTTGTGTTCATGTTTTTTTTTATAAGATTTTGGCCTCGTGTAACGGACTTTTGTCAATTTGTGACCTATTCCTTTGTCAAGTGTTGTCGAGTGCCCGTGTGCTCTAACAAAATCAAAGAGGAGCATTGTCGGTGGGTGTCGATGATTCCTTGTTAATGGTTTTTGCTATTCTTGTAGAAGGTGATATGTTGGGGATCTTCCATTCCTTCCACATGGCTCGTGCTCATTTTGGTGTCTGTGTGGGATTCATACATAAGGATCTCTCGTTAAGACATAGGGGTCATGAATATTATACTCTTAGAAAAGAAACAATAGATATCGAAATGAGCACGGACCACGAGAGATGGGACATAATATTATGTTCGAACGGTTTTTAGTTGAGAGATCAAATCGTAGACTTTTAAAATGATAATTGATGTTTTATCCACCCAACTATAAATAATATTTGAACACATGAAAAATGGGTATATTTGGTACAAGTATTTAAAAACTATTTACATTTGGATTTATTTTTTAAAAATATAAAATATTTTCATTCATAAACATGTTAATCCTTTTACTATTCCAAAATAATATTCAAACTTGATTTTTGCTTTTAATTCATTAATTCGTATTGCTTCCAATATTTTATTAGAAGACATTTGTTTTTTTTTTTTTTTTTTTTTTTTTTTTTTTTTTTTTTTTTTTT